GTCGTACCGATTGAATATGTTGCGGAGTTTCGTTTCTAATTAAACTGATAATGTTTTAACATATTTTGAAACAGTTATAACTTCTAAAATAGTTCATTCATATTTAATAACCAATTGAGAAATAAAGAATATTTAATGATATATACAGACGAAAAAAGAAAAAAAAAATTTAATAACAAATAATAAAATTTTTTCGTAATAATAGTTTACAACTATTAAAACAATCGTTGTTTTAATTTGTCTTATTGCCAAATATTATCATAAGAGTTAATTTTTGGATTTCTTTTGGGCTACATATCAATGTGAATGCGCGAGTTACATTTCCGTTATTGATTTTAATTAATGCTGTTTAGGACAAGTGACGTTAAAATAACAACTTATCATCAGACAAGTCGGTTTGCTTATTTTTGTCAGAATGTGTGTCACGAGTGTGTCGGCGATACCATCTCTCGTGTTCAGGATAGATGTGGCGATTCCTTGCAACCTTGCAGAGAACATTAAAAAGTCCGTTTAAGGGTCTGCTGCCGATGGGTGGGCCGGTCGGCCGCGCATATATAAATATAATTTGATAAATGGCGCGACCGGCCCGGTCGGTAGCGCAGCGGGCGTGCGACGGACGACGAACGCTCCTTCATATTGTTATATATATTTGATATGCCGTAGGTACTTCATCCACACCTTACAGGCAGCCTACGTACAATATTTATACTTAGAAACAAAAGAGGAAACGTTTGTTCTAACATAATTACAGGAAACATTCCGGAGTCTGAAGAATACAGTACTCCAACAAGTTTCTAAGAACATATTGATTTCATTATACATGCACCATTAGTCAGAAAACAGAACATTAAGTAGTTATAGTATGAGTCATTTCTAATACTTATGTTGAGTGTTGTCAAAGTAAAACTAGGTCATGTACGGAAATTAGGAAACAGATAATTCTGGTACGCTATTAATACCCAGTTCACGATAACTGCAATGATTGTAACTTATACACACCTATTTATGATAATTTTAGCTCAGTTTGGAAAGCCTCTCGAAAACAGGCGTCGCATTGTCGATCGGGCGCGTGGATGCGTGTGCTCCACCATGCTGTTTGCGCGTGGGGCCATCGAACCCTCGCCTCTACTCTTTTATATCCGCTCAAATAAGTACTAATTACATTTAATGCGTTTTACCTGTAATTAGGAGGTGTTACAAAATGTGAAACAGTGTTTAACGGTTTCGACAGAGTTGTGAGTGGTGTTTATATTGTTATGTGTACGATTAGACTGCTTTATGAGATGTTTCCACCATCTCGCCCACGCCACATTGCGAATACAAACAATCCGATGGGCGATGTAATGACTATCGTAAACACATTCAACGGCTCCCTCTCACACTTACGTGATGTTCAGTTAACGTTTTATGATGGAAAACGTTTTTCTTGTAACAATCATTCAATTTTAAATCATTTTTATGTATATACGATTAGTGTAAGAGGTTCCGCGAATAAATAGATAAACGAGTTGCCCGATTGTATTATAACTTTTGACAGTGAAACGTTTCGTTTGGGCGTAACTCTTGCGTTCCTTTGTTATGATCGCAGACTTCACTTAGAGTATTTGCTTTATTTATACCTCTATCAAAAAAGTTTAAATAAGTTATTTTCTCTTTGAACCAACTATTGGTTAAAATTATGCGATTGCAAATTGAACTACACAAACGCAAGACAAAAAAAAATGAAACTATTATTTTACCACTAATTGTAAGTGACAACTTTAAGACTTCATCCTGTAGTTGACATAACAATATTTGTGCTTAAAATAATTGTATCACGATTTAAAATAAAATGTATTCGATATACTTAATTCGTATTTGGCGTGAAATAGGCTAATAATCTGAATGATGAGTATTTTTAATTTGATACCGTCAAATATGAGGCACAAGAATGAGTGTTATAGCGTCATGTCAGTAATGTGAATAATTCGCGGGTCGTCTCGCTGTTAAGAAGATGGGAAGGAAGGTATTGGTCGTAAATAAAGGCGTGACTCAGAGGCCGATGGCGTTCGAAGCTATTTTCAACTTGCAAATGAGAAAGTGCACGGTTCAGATAGCCTGTCGGCAACGGACAAGTATCGGCTAGATTCCAACTGAGTAGCTAGCTGGTGTGCGTTCCTCTTTCTTTATATAGTTTTTATTGTTCTTTTGGACAGTTTTATTGTAGGCTTGCAACCATTTCCACACTTCGACACTAAGTAATTATGCATGATGTCGGAGTAAAGAAATAGGTTATTTAAAATAAAAATAATTATCAAAGTATTTCTGCTTTTTGCATAAATATTTTAACATAAAACTTAAAAATCAAACGATTTTGAAATATATAAAAACTAAACAAAATATTTTATTTCAACGAGTTTTATAGAACAAAGTGTTATTGTAAAATTTTCGAAAAAAAAGTATATATATATATATAGGGACCTGTGATAGGGACATCAATGTTAACTTTTTGTCATTGTATTTTAATGACATACCAGGCAATTTATGATGGTCTTTGTTTATCTTATACTTTAAATGGAGATTATATTATATTTGAAATTAACATACTATTATTATGTAGTAAAGATAGCAGGTATGAATGAATGAATTCTCATTGATGAGCCGTGCCGACTTGGACCTGATAATTTAAATGAACTGATACAGGCATCCATTGATTTGACAACACGGGCAAACTTACGTTGACGATTGGATATTGAAGTTCCTTAACATTTTAAGTATAATATTTGCCTATAGTGAACTAGTATATAGTATAATTATATTAATATTATTATAGAGGTAAATTTTCTAACATTGCTTGTAGAGTAACACCGATCCAATTACGCATTGTCTGACTTACAAATTACAAAATCTCAATTGATTAAAGTAATGAGAATATTACGTTAAGTTTTTTACTTTTCACAAGGCTTTTATCAGTTTTTATGAAACTGCTATCAACTGAACATTAAGAAAAGTAAAATAAGAAAGAAAACGTGTTTAAATGACGTTCAGATACAGTTTGAGATGTGCTTAACTTTAAATACTCAATTTGGAAATCGGGTGCTAGGCTATAATTTACGCGGGTGAAGTTAGGGGGAAATAACTACATAGTATTACAATATTAAAAAGAAATAATATGAAAATAAGTTGTTATTAAAAATGAGAAAATTACAAAATATTTTGTGGGTTTTGTAAAAAATTGTAAATAATATGAATGTAATATACATATACCTAGCTAACTTCGTCGAGAGAAAAATTCACAATGGTGCACCAAATTTTTTTATAATTATATCTTACCTTACCTTAGGGAAAATTGTCAAAATTTTTCAAAGCCTTTACGAAAGAATTGCGGAGTACTTTTATAATTATCGTACCTAAAAGGTACCTAATTGATTAAAAATAATTTACGGCGAGCAATTCGCCATCCTCTGTTTTCATATCTATCTCATTGACGGGTTTGTTGTTTTCGTCTCGTTTTCTCTTTGTCTTGACGGCCAGCCTTAATAAAAAAGTCGATCTCTCAATGAGAGACCCTAAATATTATTTTCATGCGTTATCGCCCATGAGAGGAGTAATTAATGAAGAAAGTTTTGGTGAATGACCGGTTTAGGTAGGAAAAAGGCAGTGTCGGCTTAGCCCATGTGTACAATAAGCAATGGTTATTTCACGTTTTTTGACCTTCATACATATTCTTATAGGCACACCTACGTAATGATGGTCTGGCCCTATTAAATATGTATGTCTTTTGTATAAAAAATACTACATAAGGATACTAGTTTACTTATGGATGGCGGGGTGCACAGATGATGAGGATTGCTAAGGGGGCGTCCATAAATTACGTGAGATGTTTAAGGGGGGGAGGGAGTCGAGTCAAATCTCATCTAATCTCACGTTGGAGAGAGGGGGGGTCTCGGCAAATATCACGCAATTTTTAAAATAAGGCTCGGTGCGGGGAATCCCTCATAGAGTGACAAGTCTAAGGTTGAGATCATTCACTAATTCGTTGGAAAGAAAATAATTTCATTCGTACTTTGACATTATACATTACTCCTGATTGTCAAACCACTATACTCGTTTTATACCAAATAGCTCAATTTAATTTGAATTTACGGTACAATGAAGCTCGTCCTTTGTTTTCGCGCCACTGTCAGCTGAACGTGTGACTTGATGAGTGAGAGCAATATTGATTACTAGTCTCTAACTAGTCGTAAATAAAAGTACTAAGCGAATTTTTTTTTTATTTTTATAAAAAAAATCCAACGTGTTTAAATAAGAAACCCACATTTTGAAAAATCTCACGTGAGATTTGGGGATGGGGGAGGGGATTGGATAAAATCTCACGACATCTCACCAGGGGGGGAGGGAGGGTCAGAAAATTTGAAAAAACACCTCACGTAATTTATGGACGCCCCCTAAGGGCCTCGTAGTTTTAACCCAGCCCGTAAAAGATATTCAATAGGTTACTAACTAGTAAAATAATCTAACATAATTGCATAGATCGTATCCATTTATCGCTGTTTACGAGGTGTGCACAGAGATTTACTTACCTATATACATATAAAAACTAAAAATTGCGCAAAATTCTGATGATATAATTAGAGCTATGTATAATACTTTTATTATTTCTTCTTTTTTCCACATTTTGTTATCAATAGAACATTTTGCTCTTTATCGGAGACAAATTTGCGGATTATTATGTTAATCCTACACGAAACGAGTTAATATTTGTTAAGCAAACTACCTATAGGTGTAACAATTCAAATACACATATATCGTATATATTTCGAAGGTTTATTTTAGGGGAGCTGAAAGTGAGACGCGTGTGTAAATTTAAACCACGATTGTAATATCGCAATTAACTACTTTTAGACATCCTTACTGACTGACAGATTGACGTCATGCTATTATTAAAATTTTATAATAATTATCTCAAAATTAATGAATTTTATCTCAACTTGTATAGGAAAAAGTAATCGATAACTTACCGCTTTTCACTAACTGTACGAAGATACACTAAACAATCTGGCCACTATATCTCACTGTCTTCTAAAACAACACCTAATTGAAACCATGTTATCATTATAATATCGATCAGTCACACGCGGTAGAACGGTTCTCTGTGACGCGTATATTTTTACATTTGACTCAAGATATTTTCGATAGATGTCTGCCTTACGTTGATCACAATTGAATGCAAAGATTCGCTCGTACTGATGTGCCGTTGCGTTAGTCACTGTATGAATTTGTATTTATCACTGATCAGCTGAGCGAATGTTTGAAACAATAATATCGGCATTTGTGTTCACTGTTTATTCACGCGTGCACTCTCCGTAACGAATAGCGAGTGACTGAGTGAGCGAGTGGGGTTGAGCGAGTGAATGAGCGACGCGACGCGAGCAAGCGGCGCGGGGGGCCCCTGTGAGATGTCACGCATTGTTCGCAACTCGCTACCGAGAGATGGCAGGACGCACCTTTTCCTTCCATGCGTGGAGATTTTTTTCCTCAGGGGGCGTTAATAATTACGGGTGGTGAATTTCTCACCCGCCTTCTTATAAATTAGGAAAACGTTTTCAAATTATTCTCGTCAAACGTTTACTCTACGATTCGGCGTATTCCCTCCGACGCGACGTCCGGATTCAATTTAACAGAATCCACTTAAGCATTTTTTTTTTAAATTTCCATCTCTATTTGTCGATAAACGTGGCGGAAATTAATGTGTACATTGCATTTCCAAAGCTTTCCGAAAACGGAAATTTTTCTTTACGATTGGTTGGGTAATGTAGAGATTCTATTTAATATTGGTTAAGCTTATAATTGTGAATAGAATCGATTAAAGTAGGCCGAGTCTATCTGCCTGAGAGTAGGTGGTAGGTAGATAGAGGCGCGATCGTTTCGACGCGTCTCTCGTTTTTCCGATGCTTTGATGAAGATGCGAGAATAAAGGAAATCTTTCTCATTGAAGGTCTGTAAAGGGCTTTTGATGATTCTCGTCAGGATCTTACTTATGTATTTCAAGATCTCTCAAGACATTAAGGTCAAACTATTTGGAACAATTTGACAGTTTTATGCACATCAGGTATGATGTGAAGCCGACTGTATCTCTCTTTATATTTACATTTATATAAATATTTAATAAAGCAGTGAAGTAACCAACAATATAACCTCTTAAAACTAATTACGAGCTCTTTTGGTGGTGGTGAGTAGTAAACAAGGCGTGCTATGACAGACGACTCGTACGACCATAAACAATGGACTCCGATAAACGCAGATAAAACTTGATTTATTGTCTGTGCTGAGAGCGCCTTAAATCAATTACCATTACTACCGATAGATATGACCGTTGTGATAAAACAACACATTTTTTTTGTAAAAAAAATATGTGAGACAACTTTTTTTACATTTAACACTCGACTTTTGGAACTCGATGAAATCATCGCTGATTGTTTTTGTATTTCTTAAATTAGTTTCTTGAATATCGTTTAAACTAAAAAGTTGCATACGTGACGCCGTACGAGGAAGCTCTCCTTTTTATGATAATTATAATATCATTAAAGTTTTTATTTTTTATTCCAAGACATTTCTAAACTATAAAGTATATATTTATTTTGATAACGCGCCTGGCCGCTGCTGGTTAGCGAGTAGGCTTATTGAGATGGCTTGTGTTGGGATCACACATCATTTTTGTTGGTTTCTATTGTAATTGCTATGTTTTGTTGTTACTTGTTATGGTTAACAAAAATAGCAACTGCTACATGATTTCCACAATAAGTAAAAATAATTTCACTAATAAGAAATATATCTAATGTCTCTCATTCCATTATTACTGTTGGTTATGTTTTAATAAAAATGTCCTTTCCGTTTGTTATCGCGTATTATAAAGTAAATGTTATTCACTTCACACAGTCCTTATTTTAGTTTTTATACAAAACGATTCTTTTCCAAAAAATTGCACGATTTTTTGAGAATAAATTAAAGACGTAAAAGTTATTAATGAAAAATGCTTAAAAAACCTATTCTGTCTCTGAGATGGGAATCGAAACCATGACCTTTCCCAATCCGGGCGACTGCTCTAACCACTGTGCTACCCAGGACCTAACAGGACTGAAGAATTTTTCAAGCACTTGTTACTTTTCGCTACTACAGAGCGTATTCTCATCAATGTTCAGGCATCCACCCAAACAGCCGAAAGATATATTGTTACAAATATTGAAACTTTCGATAAAGATGAAAATTTGGTTCAATTACTATATTTGATCAATTTAGACAGTTTGAATAATAATAATAACACTTTATTGTCACACCATTTTTACAGTTACAGTTATTTTTTTTAACATTAATTTCACATATTAATAATTATTAATTTTATTAAAGTCAATTACAGTTAAGTTAGTTTTTGCGCTATTTGGTAAAAACATCACAAAAAACCTTCACACTAAAATCCTACCTTCATGTTACTTTATGAATTGTAGTTATAAAATTCTTAACACTTTTTGGTCTGCCGGATTTGTGATTTTAGACAAGATGATAAAATTGTATCAGAATCTACATTTAACACTGCATTTGACGCTCACTGAAGTTACTTTTGACTTAACATTTTTTTTACATTTTTTTAGATGTTTCAGATCCCTTGCGAGTCATTGCACTAAGATGTTGATTGTCTTAAAATATCTTAATGAAATGAAATGAAATGAAAATATCTTTATTCAAGTAGGCTATTACAAGCACTTTTGAATCGTCCAAAAAACTTTTTTCCCCTACCACTTGTTCAGGACGTCTTTTAGCTGACAAGAAGAACAAGCGAAAGAAACTTATCAGCTTTTTATCATAAGTAATGACATAAGTAAGTATCTCATAGAGATGTATACTAAAATCATTGCTTTATGGGCAATATATTTATTGGTGAGATGAATAAATTACAAATGCATCTTGTAATGACTCTTGATGATTGTGAGACTAAAAAATAACGAGTCTGTTGTTCTGAAGTACTGTCCTTATTAACAAAGTATGCGCATGTCATGTAAAAAAAAACAAAAACAAAATAAATCAAACCCATTTGCAATAACTCGTTGGAAAGTTTGTTACACTTTATTGCTAACATAATGTTGAAATAAATATAATTGTATATTTGTATAATTAAATGCGGTTAATGGTCCGATATAGTATCGTATTGCTGCCCATACATACCTAAACAAACTCTTAATGAGTCAATTGTTGCTTATGCAAATCGGTTATCGACACTTGAATAATTCATTATTTATTGAATTAGCTTTTAATACAATAAATTTTATCTTTATGATGTTTAATTTCCTTATTATTTTGTTACAATGTGTGTAAGTTATTGATGATATTCTTAATTAAAATAACACAGGATATAGTTACAATTGTTAATAATATTTTATTAGCTCATTTATTAAGTAAATTTAAAAATAAAAGAGTTAACTCATATGATTATTCAATCTCTATAAGTTTGTAAACTTTTGAGGGTTAATCCAACAGCTGTTAAGCATCGGTAACATCTGACCGAATTAACTAATCGTTATTTATGAACGATGTGGTTGTAATAATCCTTTAAACTGAGGTATGGTACATGAGTTATTGCTAACTAGGAAAGGGGAAAACAATCATTTGATTTGTTTGTTGTTTAATAACAGATAATTGCTAGTTAGTCTATTTCTACAAGATTTTTTTTTTCACTATTATTCGATATCCGTACTTATTATATTATAATTGTTCCCTGTATTTTATTTTTATTTTTCCAACCAGTAACATCTACCTATATAGTAGGAACATGAAACGAAACGTAGGTTTTCAAAAGTAGTACCTAAGTAGAGTTATCCCAGAAAGTATGTAAAAATATAGAATATAAAATTCGTAACCTTTAAAAATGAATTAAAAGAGCTTTATTCATTATCTAAATTCCATAAATCACTGCTAGCTTTTTTTTTATTAGCAAAGACATATATTTCAATATAAACCATAAATCTGTGCCCAAAGTCCCGTTTGAAACAGCATTTGTATGCGAAAGGACACGACCAGAAGACAATAGGGATAAAAATCTACAAAAAAAAAACTCGATAACGATTTGGTGGTAGTTAAGATGCGGGTTGCGGTATGCGGGTACACCTGTAGATTAATATACAAGGAAAACACAGGTAACAAGTCACAGGGTACTTTAAAAAAATGCGATATAAAATGTTGGAAGTAAGCAACGAAGAAAGGATTTGTAGTACGAATGTAATGAGAATATAAGTAGGTATAATAATAAGTCTGATGTGTTTTATTTATAAATTTTAATAATGATAAACGTCTTGTAGAAAGACAATCGAGACAGTTGATTTTTTAAATATTGATATATAATAGGATTGTTATACCACAATATTTTTTGACTCTATTAATATAAATAATAGAGTAAAAAAAAAAAAATCTTTAAAATAACCTAGCACAAATGGCTCAAAGTAAAATCGTGAACTTGTTCAGTTGATGACGCTGTGCAGAACCCATCAAGGAACACCTCCGTCCAGTGTTGTCTATAATCCCTATTGAGACCCAGGAAGGATCCCGGGCCCTAGCTCCCAGTCGTGGGGGATTAAGCGGATGAAAAGGGCTAAGATAGACCGGCGTCACGCATACAGAAGCGACGCTGTAGATATTTAATACTGTTTCAGATTCTTATGAACAGTAACAAACAGAAAGTCTTAAAAAGCTCATTCAAAATATTTTTTATTAATAGACTAGAGTCATGTAGGTAATGTACGCGTAGCGGGTTAACGTACCCATGGCGAGTGGTTTCCTAAATTTTTGGATATAAGCAAACGCCGACCACTGCCTCGGCTACGGGACGAGTCACATCAGTGTCCCAAATAATTTATAAATTTGTTTCACTTTTTTTAATTTATTTTTTCGTTTTTTTTTTTTATTTTTCAGAGACAATATTACTTGTATTGCTCAGAGTCCGTTACGAACGCATCGGTTACATACATTGGAACTACAATAATTAAAATAAATAAATTCTATCATAGGAGGTGCAGCTTAAAATTGAAAAGGGTTGTCCCAGGGCGTGTTATCGCTGTATCTGTCGTGTGACGCATGGATTACCGCAGGTACAGCCGGAGGCTACACTATAAATGCGACGACCACGGCACCCGTCCTTAACGAGATATTACCATAGATAACGGAATTAAGGAACTGGTAACTCTATATACGAACGACATTAGCTAGAGTGTGTTGATGAAAGTTCATGTATGGCGACGTGGATGTAGCTTCGTCACATTGCATATATTTAACCGCGGTATGTTAATATATTTTCTTATATTATTCATTAGATCAGAAGAGCTTGATGGTTGCATTAGTTAGCGCGTTCGATCTGCAAGGATTCGCCAT